AAGAAGTTAGTTCAAACAAAAAAAAAAAAAAAAAAAAAATAATAATGTTTTTGAGCCAGGCATGTTGGTACACCCCTGTAATCCCAGCTCTCAGGATACTGAGGCAAAATGATTACAAGTTTGAGGCAGTCTGGGCTACACAGAAAGATCCTGCCTCAAATCAGTCAATCAAACAAACAAACTAAAAAAGCAAGCAAACACCAAATTTACTCTTTCAAACTCCAAACATTTTAACTTTACTTAATTTTTTAATTTAAAATTGCTACCCAGTTGTCCTAATGTGACTCGATTTCCTCCTCGTTCACTACATGTCAGCTGCTTCCGTAGGTCTTCTTCCTGTGACACACACATCACTCTGAAGACTTGTTGTTCTCCTTTGTAGCCTGATGGAGGGAAGCACAAGCATCCCTTTGTTTACTGTGCACACAATGACAAACTGCTGGCTTCAACGCACTGCTGCTGTGCAGACCGAGGCTGCGGCGCAGCTCGAGCCCACCTAGTCCAAGTCATTCCTGTAGCAGAGAGGAGGCGCAGCTGCAGGCTGAGCTGAGCTGTGAGCCCTCAGCACTGGGTCTCACTGCGTGTTTAGTCCCCCAGCTCCATTGGGCAGCCATGCTATTGGACAATCTCTGATTGTGGAGGATAAGGCGTTGCTAGAGATGGGTTTCTGGGAATGAGATAAGCATGCTTTTGCATACTATCTCTAATCTAAAATCTAGGCACAGCGCAGCAGGAGTTCAATGACAAAGTCCACCCAGAGACCCTGGTTCAAGACCCAGACTCCCTCCCCACAAAATATCTTGCTGTCTGTCTCTGTGCCTGTGAGGTCTTCCCCTTTAGACCCTGAGCCCTAGCACTGCCGCCAGCAATGCCCTCCCAGCCCAGGCTCTGTCTGAGGAGCCACAGGAACTCAAGGCTCCCAGGGGTCCCCACCAGAGGCCAGAAAAGGGCCGGCATGAGGCATCCTTCAGTGTGGCCTCCCTTTCCTCCCTCCAAAAGCCCTTATGCCCTGGCGCCCACTCTAGGCTTTGTGGACCAGAGCCCTCACCTTCTCAAAGCTGTATCCCTCCCTAAGCCCAAGCCCAACTCCCTCCTCCCAAGTCCCTGTCCAGAATGCCAGGATAAGGCTCAGGGACAGAGGTGAGGGGACAATGGACTGGCACTGCTGACAATGGCAACTGAAGGGCGTGCGTGCATGTGTGTGTGTGTGTGTGTGTGTGTGTGTGTGTGTGTGTATACACTAAGGAAACACAGAATGTGTATCTGACAACCTGCATGGATGTTCAGGGAGGCACTTTCAAGGGTACAAACCTCTGAGGTTTGCCAGGCATGGTGTCACATTCCTGTCATGCAGCACTCTGGGAGGCTGAGGCAGGAGGGTCTCCTGGCCTGGCCTGAATAACCCAGCCTGAACCTCATACTCCCAGAATTGGATGGAGAAAAGGACAAAGTAAGAGGGAGAGGGCAACGTCCCTAAGAAGCTGTGTGAGTTGGTACAGACTGAGACTGGCCCACTAGAGTCCCCTCAGCCAGGCATGCATGCCCTGCGCAGTCCGGATGGATGCACAGGAAAGTCAGACTCACCCCAGGACGCAGACATGCTGTAGTGCTGCAGGGAGGGAGGTGTGCTCTGTCCTGGTGCTGTGATCTGGCCCCCAAATGTGCTCAGGGCTAGTACGTTAAGGCTTGGTCCCCAAGAGTGCTATCAGGAGAGAGTGGGAACTTGAAGAGATGAGGCCCAGTGCGGGGTCTTCCATCCTGAAGCTGTGTCACTGCAGGGGATGTGGGGTGTGAGTGCTTTCTTTCACTTTCTGGCCGTGAAGTGAGCATTTGTTCCACCACCTGCCCCTACAGGGATCTACTGCCCCGGGCTATGGGCCAGAGACCCGCAACACTGACTTACTCCAGCACTGCTCTCTGTGAGCTGGCACATTTCAGGTAATTATTACAGTGACTACACCTGAGGGCAGACTGTGGTCCAGACTCAGTTCTATGAGACACATGAGAGCAAAGGCCAGCAGGAGCAGGGTGGAAATCCCCATCGTCATGAAGGCCATTGTATGTGGGAATTTTCGAGGATGTTGCCAGAGTCAGGGCAGAGCGGCTCCCTCATCCCTGACACTGTGAGTTCTGTGGTCTCGGCACACAGTACCCGCAGCAAGTATCCGCTCACCTCATTCCACACAAGAAACTGATGGTCGATAGGGTGAGTGAGGGACCAGGAGCACAGAGCTAGGGTGTGGAGGGATCGGAGCCTGGGCCTCCAGACTGACGTGATAGAGTTGCAGCAGGGACATGAACCTGGGGTGCCTGCTGGCACCTGCAGCAGTTTATCCTTGAGGGAGCCCTGTGGAGCATGCTTCCCTCCTCCTAGAAGTGGAGCAAGCGATTCCCTGCAGCAGGGGAGCCAGAGGCACAGCAGGAAGGCCAACACCTAGTTCTGCCTGTGAACTGCAGGTTCTCAGGAGAAAGTGAAAGCAGAGGCTGCCGAAATCAAGAACCTGGAGGGCCGGATATTTAGCTCAGCGGTTCAGTGGCCTGCCTTGCAAGCGCAAGGACCGGAGTTCAATCCCCGGTACTCGCCCCCCCAAAAAAAGAACCTGGATAGGAGACTCAGAACTCTGAAGCAGACTGGGCAGCTCCTGGGGAGGAGGGACCAGGAGGAATCCAACAGGGAGTCCCAAGGCTCTGTCTACCAAGAGGCACCTGGGATCCCACTGGGCACCCCTGCCTCCAGCCTACCCCCACCCCCCACCCTACCTCCCACCACCCAGCTTCCTGAGCCACGGCCCATTTTCTCACCCTTCAGGGCCCTGCTTAGGCTACCAGTGCCATGTCAGCCCACCCTGGGCAGTTTAATGAAACCCTGTCTCAAAATAAAGGGCTGGGGATGTGGCTTGGTCAGGGGGCCCTGGGTTCAGTCCCAGTCTTGGAAAAATCAAAACAAAAAGGCTTCCTCAATAGCCAGCTCTTGATAGGGGAGTATCCAGGGCTGGGAGAGGGTGTGCTCTGCACAGGAGATGGGGGGAGACAGCTCGCACAGCCTGGGGCCCAGAGTCTACACTATGTGACCAGCAGGAGGGGAGGAAGCACAAGGACGCTCAGGGCTGAAGGACAAGAATTGTTCAGGGACTGGGGATCCCAGTGGGTGGGGAGCATGGGAGCTGCCAAGGATTACAGCTAAGGATCTCTGGTGCAGGGGACAGTGCAGCTTCTGCCAGTGGGAACTCTAGAGGAGGCTGAGAGGAGTACCCAACTCACATGCTCCTGGGATGATTCTGCTTTTGGTTTTTTGTGGTAGTGAGGAATGAACTCAAGTTCTTCAAAGGGAGCTACTTCCCTAACGTTATTTTTTAAAACAGAATCTCCCTAAATCGCTAAAATGCACACACACTTGTGATCTTCCTGCCTCAGCCTCCCAGTGTTGGAGTACAGCTGTGTGACACCACGTCTGGGTGGAGTTTGTAGCCCTAACTATCCACCTATAAGCATGTCCATCCATACATGTGCTACTCAGTATTGTGCCACTATGTTCAACAGTTACATCATACATACATCCGGGCCCTTTCTCAGTTTCTGTGCCTGTCTGGGATTGAGCCCAGAGCCAACAGCGAGGAGCTGCCAGGCCCTGGGAAAGGGAGGCCAGGGGCTAGGATGGGAAAGAATGGGAGAGGGATGGGCAGGATCCCGCGGAGGAGGGGCTGCCTAGAAAATGGCAGCACAGAGACAGGAGGCCGGGGTGGGGACAAATGTCGACTACACAGAGCAGAGAGGCTGGAGTGAAGAAGGCTGGGATGGAAGAGGAGGGAGAGTAGGAGGAAGAGGAAGCTGAAGTGGAGGAAGAGAAACAAGAGGAGGAAGAGAAGTGGAGGAGAAAGAAGGAAGTGGAGGAGGGGAAAGAAGAGGAGAAAGGAAGAGAAGGAAGTCCAGGAGGAGGCGGAACAGAAGGAGGAGGAAGAAAAGGAGCGGGGATGTAGCTGGCTCAGCGGCACAGCGCCTGCCTGGCAAGCGCAAGGGCCTGAGTTGGATGCCCCGTACCAAAAAAAGAGAAGAAAGGGGAGGAAGTGGAGGAGAGGAGAGGAGGAGGAGGAATAAGTTTCGCTGTCCGCCTCCTTGGCCTTCTCTTCTTGGGCGCCCCCAGCCGCGCCCCCGCCGCAGGTACTAAACCTGCTACCTCCGTATGCCCCGCGCTCCCTGCGTCCCGCGCCCCCGCCGCCAGGGGGCGCCGAATGCGGGCGACCAACTGCGCAAGTGTGGGAGGGCGGCCACCCGACAGGCACTTCCGGTGACAAGAGCAGCCAACCCGCTCGAGTAACGCTGCTTATTTCCGCTGGGGGGGGGGAGTTCCGCCCACACCGCCATTCCGGAGGCTTCACCACAGCCCCGCCCCAACCGATATTCCTCGATACTGATTGGATCGTGTTTGGCGTGTCCAGCTCCGATTGGCTGGCTCCTGGCCCGGAACGAAGGTCCGGACGGGCCATGGCGTCCCTAGAAACCTCGTTTGCGCGGGGAGGGCCCGGGCAGCCGCCGGAGTTCTGCGACCTCCGCGTCCTTTCCGTACCTCTGCGCGACACCCCTCCCCTCCTGCGGTGCTCTCTCTAGGGCCTCCGCTGGGAGCCCGAGAGGAGGCGGGTACGGTCAGGTGTGCTGCACCGGGCAGAGCTACACAGAGGATAAGCAGTTAGCAAGGCTGAGGCAGGAGTCTCGTCTCTAGCTCGGAGCTAGCCCTGAGCCCGGGTGTGGTGGCAGGCACACCTGTCATCCCAGGACTTTGGGAGTCCCAGGCAAGAGATTCACAAGTTCAAGTCCAGCCTAGGCAATTTAGCGAGTTAGCAAGATCCTCATTTTTTATTAAAATAAAAAGGGCTAGCCGGGGGTGATGGCGGACGCCTGTAATCCCAGACCTGGGAGGCTGATCGCTGTGAGTTCGAGACCAGCTGGCCTACACAGTGAGTTCTAGGTCAGTCTCAACTACAGAATGAGACCCTGTCTCACTTTTGTTTTGTTTTGTTTTGTACCGGGGATCAAACTTCGGTCCTTGAGGTTGTGAGGCAGGCTCCAGAACTAGTGAGCTAAATCCCCGGCCCCCGTCTCAAAAACAAAAACAAAAGCACACACACAAAAAAAAGGCTGAGGGTGTAAACTAGCGCAACGGCCCCGTGTTCAATCCCCTGTTAAAATTAAACAAGGCTGAGGATTTAGCGTAGTGGCTCCGGGCCTGCCTCTCAAGTGCAAGGTCCCGAGTTCGATCCCCAGTACAAAAAAAATTAAACAATACAAAAACCCAGGAAAGGAGGAGGCATGTGCAGGTTGCCACCTTTGGGAAAAGCCTCCAGGAAGGGACTGCAGGTACACCTGTCTGGATACTCCACACTTACCTCTCACCCCACTTCTGCCCTCACCAGCCCTGTCCCGGGTTATTGTCACAGTTGACAGTGGAAAAGCTCACTTGTCCATATCCCAGGCTGGAGGGAAGTGGAGGTAGGCCAGTCCCTGTACCTGGTCACCTGCTGTGGTGCCATACCTGGGCACGGTGTCCATGTGCCTGGGTCCAGGCAGGAAGTGGCATAGTGCCAGCTCCTAGTTAACCAGCTTATCTTTAGATATTTAACCCAGAACTTAGGGCTGTGAGACGCACAAGGTTCTCTGAACCCTTCATGCATTAAGGAGTTGTGGTTGAGATGGCTGCTAGGTCTAGAGCTCAATGCTTAGTGTGCTTGAGACCCTGGTTTCAATCCCAGGCTTCACTGGTAAACAGAGCAAGGCAGTGTCTAAAATGCCTTCTGTCCTAGGAGCAGCATTCAGGCTGAGTAGCCTGCTTGGCCAGGGATCACCACATGCCTCCTGCATGCACATTCCTGCTCAGAACCCAGAAGACACAGACGCACTGGGCTCTGAATTCTTATTGCTACAACAGGGAAGGTGAGGTGAGACAAGAACCACCACCCACAAGGACAGTGCACCCATGGGAAGCCAAGGTGGGTACCCAGCACAAATCACAACTAAGACCTTCTGGAGCCAGGGTGCTGGAAACACCAAGGACTGCTCTGGGAGCAGGTGGCAGAGTGGTCTAGACATCTGCACCCCCAGGGCTCCCTCCTGGGCACCTGTCTGTGTCACCAGCTTGCCTCACCCCAGAAATGCTCCTTCACCTGCTCCTGCTGCTCCTCGAATCCTTGGAGGCTTTAATGTTCTGGAGGAAAAGTAATAAAACAGGAATTTCTTAAGGTTGACCAAAGAAGCTGGGTGCAGTGGTGCACACTTGTAATCCCAGCACTTGGGAGGCCAGGCAGGAGGATCACAACTTCAAGTTGTGCCTGGACAATTTAGAGAGAATTTGTCTAAATAAAATGGACTGGGGATTTAGCTGTGTGAAGGCATGGGGTTCCATGACCCCCACCCGAGGAAAAGACAGCAGAAGTAAAAGGGAAGTGGCTGCTGCCTTGCCTGGAACAACATGAGATCTCTCTTGCCTTCTCAAATGCAGCAGCTGTCACAGGCATCACCATACAAAGTACATGCTCATCCATGTTCATACATGCACAAGAAGGCTGAGTGTGGTGGCACATGCCTGTAATCCCAGCACTTGGGAAGCTGAGGCAGGAGGATCACTGTGAGTTTGAGACCAGCCTGGGCTACATAGTGAGTTCCAGGGCAGTCTCAACTACACAGTGAGACCCTGTCTCAAACCAAAAAAACCAAACGAAACATACATGATGCACAAGAGACAGAAGACATGAGTTGCTGCTGCAGAGCAAGATTCTCAGGGACCTCTTTAATCACTGAAGACCCAGCAGCCCAGGAAAGGGCCCCTCCAGCACCCACAGCATGGGTTCCAAGGGCAATTCTGCCCCCAGATTACTTCCTGCACCTAAAACACAGGAACAACCCTGCAATGTCAGGGCCTAAGGGCTGAGATTGGCCTGCAGGATACTGTGGCACCCAGAGAGGACACTCAGTCCAAAGCACAGTCAGGCCAGGGGAAGTGGCCCATACCTGTAATCCCAGGACTCTGGGAGGCCGAGGCAGGAAGACTCCAAATTCAAACCCAAAATAGGCAGCTCAGTGGAACTGTCTCAAAACTGAAAAGGAGCTGAGGATGCAGCTCAGTGGTAGAGAGCATGTCTGGTATGCAGGAGGCCTTGGCTTCCACCCATAGCATGCAGGCAAGAAGAGCCCACAGAGGTGGTGACTGTAGGCTGTGAAGGTCCAGATCCTCATTGCCCTCATCACAAGGGTGGGTTGTTGAGCCTTGCTCTCCCTCAGCCTCCTTCCCAGGCTTGGGGATAGGAGTGCACCTCCAGGCCAAGGTGGAGCTCTTCATGAGATAAGGCTACAGGAACTCCCAGAAACCCCTGGCCCAGCAAGATTACCATCCCTGTGTAATCTCTTCCTGAACTTGCATGGCCAGCACAGAAGCCAGCAGGGTGGACAGTGTCCCTCCTGCCTGTCCCTCTGGGCAGTCCTCTTCCCATGGGCCCACTGGTAGGAGCAGCTCCTGAGCAGCCCCGCAGGTGGTGGCACTCAGAGAGTTCACCTTTTTGCACAAGTGATGATTGCCTGATAGTAATACAGGGCCTATATACTTTTCCACTTAAAAATATGCATAGGATAGCCAGGCATGGCCCTGCGGGCCTATAATCCCAGCACTCTGGGAGGCTGAGGCAGGAAAATAACATGATTGAGCCTAGCCTATGCAAATTAGTGAGAAACTGTCTCAAAAACTAAAATAGGGCTGGAGATGTAGATCAGTGTGAAGACCCTGGATTCAATCCCCAGCACTGGGGGAACAAAAGTCTGGGAACTATTTCCAAGTGAGCCACAGAGGTCCCAGAAAGAAGGGGGCCCATTTCCCCAAAACCCCCTTGGGTGTAGATCAAGGACATTGCCCATCCCCACCTGAGCTCCTGTGGTGATCCCCACAGGGGTCGCAACACTGCAGTTCTGTGCAGGGGCCTCTTGGAGGCTGGGGCTGGGAACCCCTCCCTGCCTGGCAGCCACCTGCAAAGCTAGTTGCCCATGACTCTCTTCCTTCTGCCGAAGACCCGCCTACCTCCCCAGCCAGAGACCCCAACTCTTTGCCAGCCAGTGTCCCTCAGCATAAAAGGACAGCAGGACAGGGTCTGGAGGCCTGGCCAGCACCTAGTCCAACCGTGGCCTCAAGGTCACAGTTGCATCAGGCCTGGGCAGAGGGTGCCCACCCAGTCCAAGTGACCATGGTCTCAGGCCAGCCCCCATGCCATCTGCCCTGTACCCAAGGTGGCCTGTAGAAGCCCAGGACCTGTGCTGACCTTAGAGCAGCCCAGAGAGCTGCTGTCCCCTCCCTCACCTTCAGCCCTGATCAAGTGTTGCAGGCCCCGGGTGGGAGGGCCAGAGGAGTCTGACCAGTTCTCTCAGTAGCTCTGGGTGGGGCCACAGGCTTTTAAAAAGGGTTGTGCACAGCCCAGACCTGCTCCTGCTGTGTCCAGGTGAGCGCCCAGGTGTGCAGGTACATGAGGGACTCCAGGGATGAAAGAGGGGGTGGCCCCAGGTGCTTCTGAGGGAGAGTACCAGGTGCCAGAGGACTCTGGTAAGTGCACTGCCTAGGCTTCTGAGGACAGAGGCTGTAGTCCTGGGTCCTGCAGTGACCAATGTGCAGCGGGGTGGGATACACTGGAGCAGCTGGTCTGGAGAGCAGCCCTCACCTGCCAGAGGTTGGGCGGTGGGGGGGGGCTGCCCCACCACATTCAGAAGCTACTATCCCCCACCTGGCAAAAGACCATGTATTTATGCATTTACATATTTAAAACTAGATGGGGGGGCGTTGAGGCAGGGTCTATGTAGTTCAGGTTGGGGGTTGAGGCAGGGTCTTACTATGTAGTTCAGGTTGGCCTTATACTCACTTTTCAGCCCAGGCTGGCTGGCCATGAACTCCTGGTGATCCTCCTGCCTCAGCCTCCAGAGTGCTGAGATTATAGGTGTGTACCACCACACTAAGCTCTGAGTTTTTAACAGGAATAGTTGGAGAGAAAGATCATTTAGATTAGTGGCATGATAGGTGATCATTTGTCAGACTGAGAAAGGGGGTCTGGGATTTAGCTCAGTGGATTCGCCAACTGCCTTACAAGTGCAAGGGCCCAAGTTCAATCCCTGGTACCATAACAAAATGGAAAGTTCTTTGTTGTAGCTAATCTAGGTGAAAATTTACCTTTATTTTTGTACTGATATTTTAAAGCCAAAAAATTTTTTTGTTGTTTTTTTGAGACAGGGTCTCACTACGTAGTTGAGACTGCCCTGTAACTCACTATGTATCCCAGGCTGGTCTCGAACTCACAGGGATCCTCCTGCCTCAGCCTCCTAAGTGCTGAGATTACAGGCGTGCACCACCACGCCCAGCAGGCTATATTTTAAATTCAACAAATAGTAGTGTAACTCTACCCATGTAGCTTCCAAGATTGCTACTATTAGCCACTAGAGCCCAGAGTGTAAGAGACCTGGTAAGTCTCATGCTATGATGGTGACGATGGCTTCAGGGTGGACCCTGCAGTAACACCAGCTTGGCTGATGCTGATGCGTGTACTAAACTAAGATCCAGCCGCTGAGGGACAAAGGGGCTGTGGGTGGAATCACACCCTAAAGAGAGGCTTCATGTGACCATGGGGCCCAGGGGCCTGGAGCAAGGATGGGGGGGTTCCCAGTCCACTACCCACTTGCCCACACCCAGGCCCCAGCGCATTCTTCTGCCCCATCCCCAGGCCTTTGTCAATAGCCCCTGGGCTACGAGGCTGTGATTGCAGCCTTGACCACCCATTCCTGCCCCTCCCTGAATTCCATTTGTCTCCTCCTGTGACACCCAGCACCTCTCAGGAACAGGAATACTGTACACCTTACCAGTGCCATCCAGGCCTGTTCCCTTCCGCAATTAGCAACCCCAGATCCCAGGTAGCTGCAGGCATCTGTCCCCAAGACTGAGGACTTGAGCCCCCCCCCACGCCTGCTCAGCCCCCACTCTCCCTCCCCTGTCTTGCCCACAGCCCTGCCTGCAACTGGTGCCATGGCAGCAGTGACCCAGGGCTTCCTCCTGGAACTGGCAGGTAAGTCTGAAGCCCCTCCGGGAGCTGGCATGCAAGGAATGCCAGCATGGGTGGAATGTGGGCACGGCATAAAGTCTTCACAAGTCCTGGGTCACTGAGCCTGTTTCCTGGAAACAGAGAGGTAGCCAAGCACCACAGGAAGCTACAGACACACCAAGTCCATTCTGCACAAAGAAAGAACCACAGGAAGCCTGGGGCTGGAGGCACAAGTTGGGAAAGCACCAGGAAGGGCAGCGGTGGCCCAGGTTGGCTGCCACACCCTGCAGATTGGCACCCATGCCACCACTATAACCACCGTCCTCTGCTTTCTACCCAGACCTACCTTCCATAGAAACCAGTGACCTATTTGGTGAGGAGCACTCCCCGCTTCCTGAGCCCCCATCCTTTCCCCGTGTCTGGTCTTTACTTTCTCTTTCTCTTTCCTCAGAGGAGAGTCCCTTCTACTACGGTAAGAGCTGCTACCCCCACCCACCCCACCCTGATCTACCCAGGACCTCTCTGTCCGACAGGCTGGCAAGAGCCATTGCAGACATGGGGGACAGGGATTAAGGCTGCTCCCGGGTAGGGGCGGGGGCGGAGCCACCATCTCCAGGCTCTTCACACCTTCCTTTCTTCCAGGCTGAGCCAAGTGTCCCAGCTCTGGCCACCTTTCAGCACGGCTTTCCTCCTTGCTCTGTGTACTCCCCACAACCTTGCCACCTGTTCCTGTCAGAGCCCACATGGCATCTAGTGACTTGACATACAAGTGGGCAGCTGGGCAGGCTTCTCCCCCGACCCTCTAGGGGCCCCACCCTTGGTCTTGGTGGGGAGGCACTCTGCCAGGTGCTGCACCCCTGCCTAGCTCTGTATTACTAATGCATAGCAGACTCATGCACCCCACAAGTCATGTGCACGCCTTGGGTTTGCTGTTTTCTGTGCTGGGGATGGAGCCAGGTCTCTCACAGGGGCTTCCAGAACCCTGGCCCAGCCCACAGCTGTCTTGGGCTAAATGAAGTTCACTCTGCCCTCTCCTGCCCAGACTGGGAGAGTCTGCAGCTAGGTGGCATGATCTTCGGGGGGCTCCTGTGCATCGCTGGGATCGCCTGGGTCCTGAGTGAGTGGGGCCCGGCGGGGAGGCGGGGTCATGGCTGGGCGCCTCTAACTGACTTTCCTCCCCACAGGTGGCAAGTGTAAATGCAAGCGGAGCAAGGGGCACAGGTGAGGGGAACCTGTGGGAGGGGTGGGGTCCGTGGGACAGGGGAGCCAGCCAAGGTTTGGCAGGCATGCCCCCTACCCTGAAGGGCCCATCAGGGACAGCTCTGCACCCCAGGGAAAGGACATAGGAGCCCTGTACTGGCTGGTGTTAACTGGCTGTCCTTCCTACAGCCCCCTACCCGAGAAGGGTACTTCAATCCTCACGGCAGGTGAGCTGGGCTCCCAGGGGCAGGCAGGGTCTATGTCCCAGACCACATGTGTCCCTAAGACCCTGTCCCATTCTCTGCAGGTGTCAGTGCTTGCTGAGCCCAGGACCAGCCTAGTGGAACTCACTGCCCACAGCCTCACCTCTGGCTCCCTCCTAGGATGGCCTGATCCCTTCTGGAGCTCATTTATCTATTAAACAGTCTCCACCATGCCTGTGGCCTCATGGCCTCTGTGGGTCACCCGGGAAAGTCGAGGTACACTCAGTGGTCTCCTGTAGCCCCATTTCACCTCCTACCTTGAACCCTATCCCTCACATGACCCATGGCTGGGCTCCCCACAGCAAGCCCACAGGGGCTCAAGGCCATGTAAGGCCACAGAATTATAACACAAAGATCCCCAGTTTCCAGCCTTGCCCTGAAGACCCAAGGAGCCCATGGCCCAGAACAACCCGATGGCCACCCTTCTGAGAGCACCGAGAACCCCCTCACCCAGCACCTGGCCCCTGGTCCTGTGACTCTAGGTGGCAGTTCCTTTGAGCCCCCCGCTCCAGCAGTCAACACAGCACAGGGAACACTCACCCCTAGTTTCCTTGAGACCCCAGTTAGAGCCACAGCCAAGATCCCTGAAGCTGGCAGCTTTAGAGCCCAAGCCATCTGTTCGTCCCTCCCAAGACCTCACAGGCTGTCCTCTTCCTACCACGGCCTGCAGTGGCTGCTGACCACAGGTGCCAGAACTGGATAACAAAGGGGGACAGTAGGGACCTGGACAACCCATCCTGCCTGCCACCCCCAAGGGTCCCCAAGGGAGAGGAAGAGGTGCGTATCTCCTGGCCCATGCTCAGGCTCCTGGGGGCAGGATGGCATCCATAGCAGATGGAGTGGACAGGGTCTCAAGGCAGTGGCCAGCAGCCCCCAGACCCCCAGGCAAGGCAACAGTGGCTCTACCCACAGAGCCTCTATTGGCCCAAGACAGCATCTCTACCCTGCCAGATACTACCTTTGACCACGCCCAATCTTGTCTACCCTGCGGCAAAACTGGACATGGGCCCTCCATGGGCCTCAGCCCTGCTATTCTTCCTGTCATCATGTCACCAAGAGACCAACTGCTGATATCCAGTCCCAGGCAGGCAGTCCCTGGGCCGGACACCATGCAGGTGGGGGGACATGGCCAGGAAATGAGATATCCCCTCCAGGCTTCCCTTGGCAAGGTTAGGGGACCAGATGGGCTGGGTGCAAACCCAGGTGCAGGGTACAAGGGGTTAATTTCAACCAACTGAGCACTTGTTCTGAAGGACCCAGCCCAAACACTTCCCCCACTGCTGGCTTGGTGTCCCGATCACCTATGACATGGGGCAGTGCCTGTTAGGGGAACTGAGGCACCCAAAGATTCTCTGGCCAGCACAGAGCACTGGCAGCCTCTGGCACTTCTGGGACCTGGATTCCAATTCAAATATAGTCCCAGGGCAGGCCGGGGGCTGTGCCTGCTTGATGACAGTTTTTAACTTTTACTATTCGCAGTACTGGGTATTGAACCCAGGGTCTGCACTGAGCTACATCCCCAGCCCTTTTTTATTTTTTGAGACAAGATCTCACCGAGTTGCTAAATAATCCAGGCTGGGCTCCAATTTGCCACCCACCTGCCTCATTCTATTGAGCTGGGATCACAGACATGTGCCACCATACCCAGATATTTTTGTTGTTCTGTCAATAAGTTTAGGGTTATCTAAAAAACTTTCACAGAAAATTGCTTGGCTTAACTCAAAATCCTGTTCCCTTGCTCTGAAAAAGCTTCCTTCTTTAGAACTCCATCCCTTTTAACTGAGCAAATCTTATTTATTTTCTTGGTACAAGGGATCAAACTCAGGACCTTGTGCTTGTGAAGCAGGTGGTGGCATCACTGAGCTAAGTCCCCTGCCCATCTAATCTATTTGGGACATGGTCTACGTTGCTGACAATAATCCCCCTGCTTCAGCCATCGGTACAGCTGGGGTTAGAGGCTTGTGCCACTACAGTGGCTTTGTTTTGCTTCACTGATCATGCTTAACAGCACAGAGGCTTCTCACACAGCAAGCCAGCTTCTATACACACTCCAGCACCATGTAGGGCAGCAAGCAGGACCTTTTGGGATACTGCTGCCCCACCTGCCCTGGAGGACTCAGGTGTCAACCCATAGCTGACAACTGGAAAAGGTGCTTTCTCCTGACTTGAATCCGTACTGTTGTCATTATTTTACTGGATAACAGGTCTTATATATAAACCCCAGACTCTGGGGTGTATGCAGCTCAGCAGAACATTTGCCTTCCCTGTGACAGACGCTGGGCTCAACCCTCAGCCCGAGAGAGAAATACATCTAATTCTGTACTTCTATTAAATACATCTATTATTTCTGTACCTACTTATCTTCGTGCCTGCTCCATTTATTTTGAGATATTTGCATTTATTTTGAGGTTCCAAGCATCTGCCCTGCCCCTACTCCCTGCATGGCAGTACCAGTCACACCCAGGATGCTAGCACTCAGCCATCCACTTTACTAAGACACTGACAGCCTCACGATACTGGTATGTGTTCAGTCCTGTGCAGTGTTATGTATGTAGAGGTGTGGCCACCACCACACAGTCCATTATGAGGGGCCCTCATGCCACAACGACTGAGGCCCAGTCTGAAAATAAAAAAAAAGGGGCTGGGGATGTACCTTGGTGCCAAGCCCTGGGTTCAATCCCTGGTATATACACCACATACCAAAAAAAAAAAAAAAAAAAAAAAA